GGGGATTGAACCGTGGTCCCTGTGCTTTGCTTAGCTTAGCTTGTTCTAAGTAGGTGCTTTAGACCACTGAGCCATCTCACCAGCCCCATACATACTTAATAGATTAATAATTTGCTTTTATTTCCACCTACCATTGTATTGCAGGTGTTTTCCAGAGTCTTCATGTGGTTTCTGAAACATGATTTCTGGTGACTACGACAAGCCTAACCGTACTTTATCACAATACACCAAAAAAACCTTTTCAGAACTGATATTATATCTACTACTGTCTCTACTCCACATTTGAAAAAAATATATATAGAAAATTGCCCCATTTTCTTATCAGCCAAGGGCTTTTGCCATATCCTCTACCCAAATGTTCTAAGTGACAATTTGCCACTTAAGGAGGCCATTTCAAAATAAAAAATAAAAAAAGCCCTGAGGCTGTAGCTCAGTGTGAACCGCTCTGGGATCAATCCCAGGAGCAAGGGCAGAAAAGTAACACAGCCTCATTCAAGTGGCCATGCAAGGGGAGCAGGTTGCCTGCCAGGCACAGGGCCGGCCACCAGTGACCTGGAGGCAGTCTGTCCCCTGAAACATCCTATTAGCCCCTCAGAGGTAGTGGGATTTTTTTTCTTTTGGTAAAACTGCCTGTGCGGGCCGGGGAGATGGCTCAGTAGGATAAGCGCTTGACTGGCAAATGCAAGGATCTGAGTTCAATCCCCGGTTCCGCCAAAAAAAAAAAAACAACCAAACAAACAACAACAACAACAAAAAAACTGCCTGTGCTTCTGTTCTAAAGCTCAGACATAACATTTGACATTTTCTAGACTGTGAAATCGTTCTTGGGGTGCCTTCCCCACCCCGGCTTCCTTCCGGATTCAGAAAACCTGTAACCCTTCAAAAAATGACCACCAAGCAGAGGGAGCTGACCTTTGTCAGTTTGGGGATAGCATTTCCTGGAAGTGGAGTATAATTTGTCTTGATAAATCTGAGCCCCCAGCGCTGTATCCCCACGGGTTTTTGTTTTTGTTTTTGTTTTTGCACATCGGGAGGCTGTTTGTCCCAACAGCACCTCTGGGGAGAAGTAGCAGGATCCTCCAGCGTGGCCTCTGCCAGGCTGGCCAGCAGAGGCTGAGTTTTCGGCTATCTCGGGGACCAGGGGCTGCGAGAAGAGGCAAGTGGTAGGGGCACAGCCAGATGCAGTGGCCCCTGGATTTGTGGACACTTCCTGTCTCTGCTGTCCTCCCTCCTCCCGTTGCATCCACTGGCCCACCTGGGCCACCCTGGTCTCGCTCACAGGGTCCCCACATCTCTTTTTTGTAGGTCATTCGTCTCAGCAACTGCACCCTCTGACTCAACAACTTCCTGTGTGCAAATTTCCCCTCTGCCCTGGGGAAACACCATCCACCTTGGGCTTTGGGTCTGCCTCAGGCAGCCTCTCCTGGCCGACCTCCTCCTCACTTCAGCCAGCTTGGGAGAAGGAGTGGAACGCCAGGATGGAAGAGGAGACTCGGGCCAACTGACTGAAGGTGCAGGAGGCGAAGTCAGCACCGCAGCCCCCAGTGCCGGCTGCTGGGGCAGAGCCCCCCTCCTGCCCCTGCGTGCGTGCATGCGTGTTGGAGAGAGGAGCCTTTGAACAGGGGATGCTGCGGCTGAGACGAAGAGCCGCGCTGGGTCACATATTCTTTCTGAGAAGCCTGCACTGTGGTCTCTTTATTTTGTTTTGTTCTTGGGGACAGAGTCTTGCTACATAGTTCAGGCCGGCCTCGAACTCAGGATGACCCTCTTGCCTTAGCCCCCAGAGCACTGGGGCCTTGTTAAGCCTGTGTTCTTAGAATATCAGACTACTGAGTTCAAGCTTGTGGCGCTGTGCCCCCTCTGAGCAAAGGTGAAGGTCCCTGTGTTCTTAGTGATCCCGTGTACCCCGCATGCGGCAGCCCCTCTGCACCCCTGCCCACCTTCGCAGCCTGCACTCCCATGGACACCTCTGGAACAGAGACCACACCCAGGCCAGGAGTGATCTCTCCGGCAGGGCAGCCCTCTGGAGAATCACCCTGGCCAAGGACTCCTCTCCTCCCTGCCCCTGGGAGAAACGCAAAGCCTCCAGCAGTCAGCCTGAGGTGGGGCAGCCCTGGATCCTGGGGCTCGGCAGGTCGCAGGCCCCCCTCAAAGCACAGCTAGACAGACCCGCCCAGCCCAGGTTCCAGGGTGGCCCAGAGGGAAATGCTCAGAAAGTTACTCCCAAGAGTCCTCACCGCTGGCCCGATAGGGTGTCCTATCACGGGACTCCCGTGTACTTTGCAAAATTTGTTCCTGGGGAGCTGGCTCCGATTGCCACCGCCTTCCTCCCAAACGCTGGGGTCCTTGGAGAAAGCACGGGTCATCAAGGTTGGCATTGTGGAGACTCAGCAATGGGGTGCCAGGGTGAAGAAAGCCAGAGGAGGGGACAGGAGGGCTCCATGAAGAAGGCGGGTGTAGCTGTTTTGAAAACAGCAGGAGCGAGCTGTGGCCCAGGACACATGCAGGTGCTGGGGAGGACGCCTTGGCGCAGGAACTGGGTAAGAATCCGGAGGGGCCAGCTGGGGATGTGGTCAGGAGCGAAGCTGGAGGAAGGTGGTGGAAACCGGGAGGGTCCTCGTCATCACAGGCTCTGAGGGGCTGCCCCGTCCCCCACAGCAGGGCCCTCATCCTCACTGCCCACCAGCGGCTCCTCCTCGCCCTGTAGGCCCGGGTCCGGCCTGGCCTTCAGCTCCTCCATTGCCAAGCCCTGTTGAGACCTGCGCCTGCTGAAGAAAGTGGTGAGTGTGGGCCGTTGGGCAGACCCGTCTGTCTCGGGGACCCCAGAGCCTTTGTTACCCTTGGCCCCTGCCAAGGCTTCGGTCACGGCCTCCTCGTCGTAGACATGCGCCGGCCCGGCCCAGGCATCCACCACCCCATTGTGCTTTCCACCGCTGCTCAGGGTCAGGACTCCCGTGCGTCGCTTCTGCCGCTGGCGCCACAGCACGAGCAGGGCCACGATCACTGTCACCACCAGCAGGGCCACCAGCATGGGCACCAGCAGCATGCTCTTCTGCTTCTTGCCTAGTTCTCCAGAGGGCCTCATGTCTGCCTCTGTAGAGAGCTTTGGGGTGGTCCCCATGGACGCTTCTGTGCTGGAGACAGAGGGGCTGCTGGCCGCCCTGGAGGTCACCAGGGAGCTGACTGTCATGGCCTTAGGAGATCCACCAGCCCCCCTGGGGGTCTCGAGAAAGCTAGTTGTCATGTTAACAAAGGTTCCATTGGCTGTAGTGGAGGTGTCCACAGAACTTTTTGCCTTGGTGATATGGGGTCCACTGTCCCCTTTGGAAGTCTCCAGAGAGCTTGTTGAATTGGTGACCAGGAGGCCACTGTCCCCACTGGAGGTCTCCAGAGAGCTTGTTGTCTTGGTGACCAGGAGGCCACTGTCCCCACTGGAGGTCTCCAGAGAGCTTGTTGACGTGGTGACAAGGAGGCCACTGTCCCCACTGGAGGTCTCCAGAGAGTTTGTTGCACTGGCGATAGGGGGTTCACTGGTCCCACCAAAGGTTACCAGAGAGTTAAATGTCACAGTTCCATCTGTCACCGTGGGGTCTCCCTCAGAGCTCACCGCTGTGGGGACAGCAGAGTCACTGGTTCCAGTAGTGACCTCCGGAAGCACTGATGGCTTTTTGGTAGAATCTTCCTCAGAGGACATCAGCCCGGATACAGTTGGGCCAGGGCTGACACTGACAGACATCCCAAGAGAGGCATCCGAGAGGGCTGAGCTCAAGGACTGATTGCTCCTGATGCGCTCCGAAAAGGTCCTCATCCCTGGTCCTTGGGAGGTCACTGGGCTCAAGTCCGAAGAAACGGAGTTTCTCAAGGGGGTGACGGGTGAGGGCGTCTGTGGACTCACCAGCGGGGCCCAGAGGCTCCCACAGAAGAGAAGCAGTAGCGCCATTTCCAGTGTAGAAGGCGGGAGCGGGAGTTGGGACCCAGGCTGGGGAAGTGGAAGAAACAGAACACACGGACTGGGGGGGCCCGGCCAGGCCTTGCCCTCCTGCCCACTTCCCTGCCAACCGCCAGGCCCAGCTGCGGTCTAACGGCTTTTTCCACCCTTGTTTTTTCTTATCAGAAGTAACAGAGGACCAAATGTGGCAGCGCCCCATCAGCCCAGCCCACGCATCCCTGGAGCTCAGGTTCCTGCTGTGGCTGTGGCCGTGGCCGTGGCCCCAGACCCCCAGTCCTAGTCAGCCCTGTGGCCCCATTCTCTCTTCCCATCACTTGTCAGGCCTGTTCACGACCCAGGCACACTCCCAGCTCCTTGGAGCCTCTGTCCCCCAGGTCACACCTTCTTACCAGTTTACGGATAAGGCACAGGCTAGGACCAACTGCTCCAGCTCCTGGTGAGGTACGGGCACAACTGGGGGAACTGGCCCCCTAGGGTAAAGGAAGTGGGCTCCACCCACCCCACCCTGCATCCTGTCGCACCCCTCCCCGCCCACAGGGTGGGGCCTGAGACCCTGAGATGATACCTGGGGCCCCAGGGCACTCAGTTGAGGCAGGGAAAAATGTAGGGAGCCCAGCATGGGAATTCCTGCACCTCAGCTGGGGTCAGAGCTGTTGGAAAAGGGGGTATGCTCAAGAAGTAGGGGCACAGAGGAGATGGGCGTGGAGGGTAGTTTCCTTTGCATCTGTGCTCCCCAAGCTGTTTGGTTGGGACCCGGGGTGCATTTCCTCCCCCAAGAGCTCCCAGGAAGCAGCATGGGAGTGGGTGGTTGGGAGGGGGTTCAGAATACCTGGCTCCGGCAGAAAGCTTTTGCAGGCTTTTAAGCCCCTGGCTGAGCTACAAGCAGCTGGGGACACTGCAGTGCCACTGGCCTTAGGAGCTGCTTTAAACTAAACTGAGCCAGCTGCTCCCCGGAATTTGGGACCAAACTGAGTGCCCCAGCGAGAGCTCGTTGCCGCAGCCCCGACACTGAGGACTGATCCAGGGTGTTGGCACTAAACTACACCCCAGCCCCGGCCGCGCTTAAATTTTAGGGTCGTGCTAGATCTAGGCTGGGCTGGAATTTGCGGTCCACCTATCTCAACCTCCCAGAGTGCTGGGATTACAGAGCTGTACCACCAAGCCCAGCTGAGGCCTCAATAAAATGAAGGAAAAGGAAGAAAGGAAAGGGTGAGGAGGGGAGGGGAGAAGGGAAGGGAAGGGAAGAGAAGGGAAGAGAAGGGAGGAGAGAAAGAAGAGAGAGGGAGGGAGGAAGGAAGGAAGAGAGAGAGAGAGAGAGAGAGAGAGAGAGAGAGAGAGA